CAGCAGGCATCCCAGGGGGCTTGTTGTCACCTATCGGGGACCCTTGGTGTTGTACGTGGCTGGGTGGAGGAAGAGACCTTCAATGACATCAGTGAGGACACCAACCTTGTGCAAATGGGGAGTTTGCGGTTGTGCAAATGGACTGTTTGCGGTTGTTTGCGGTGCGTTAAACGGGGAGTTTGGTCTGTCACTGTGAAGCGGGCGTAACCCTTACACTACCTGATCGATACAACATCATACAGTAGGTCCCCCCCCTCATTATTTTTATGGCCCCCACCCACCGCTCACGGGTGGGGGCGGGCGGGAGGACAGTAGGTTTCCCCCCCCATTGAGATTTATGGCCCCCACCCACCGTGCAGGGGTGGGGGCCAGGGGGGAGGACAGTAGGTCCCCCCTTATCCTTATTTACTGAATATTCCCCTGTATAACAATGTTTGGCATTTAGTGAATATTCCCTATTCTGCTCTGTGTCAGTGTGTATCAGGGATCCTTAGGATAGGTGTCAATCCATATCTGCCAAGTGACCCTATGTAGGGGGAACAGTCTCTATTCTGCTCTGTGTCAGTGTGTATCATGAACTCTGAGGACAGGTGTCAATCCATATCTGCCAAGTGACCCTATGTAGGAGAACAGTCTCTATTCTGCTCTGTGTCAGTGTGTATCATGGTCTCTGAGGACAGGTGTCAATCCATATCTGCCAAGTGACCCTATGTAGGAGGAACAGTCTCTATTCTGTTCTGTGTCCGTGTGTATCATGGTCTCTGAGGACAGGTGTCAATCCATGCCTGCCAAGTGACCCTATGTAGGGGGAACAGTCTCTATTCTGCTCTGTGTCAATATGTCAAATGTCAGGTATCAATCCATATCCATTGTGATTTAGGAATGTTAGGTGATTTCTGCCCTTTATGGATTAAGACCGGACTCTGCATCAACTGTGTAATTTTCCATGGGAGTTTTGCCATGGATCCCCCTCCGGCATGCCACAGTCCAGGTGTTAGTCCCCTTGAAACAACTTTTCCATCACTATTGTGGCCAGAAAGAGTCCCTGTGTGTTTTAAAATTCGCCTGCCCATTGAAGTCTATGGCGGTTCGCCCGGTTCGCCGGTTCGCAAACATTTGCGGAAGTTAGCGTTCGCCGTTCGCGAACCAAAAATTTCGTGTTTGCGACATCACTACATAGAAAACATAGAAACATTGAAACATAGAATGTGACGGCAGATAAGAACCATTCGGCCCATCTAGTCTGCCCAATTTTCTAAATACTTTCATTAGTCCCTAGTCTTCTCTTAAAGTTAGGATAGCCTTATGCCTATCCTATCCCACGCATGCTTAAACTCCTGTTACTGTGTTAACCTCTACCACTACCAAAAGGTTGACTACCCCTGGTTTAAATGCTCAAACTATTTATCGGCGACTTGATAACTCACCAGGGGTCCATTGGGCGCTTGCCTTGGCCTCTTCAACTGTTAGCTCCTCTGAGCATGGACATTCAGTGCAGTACTCTTTGCCAATGAGTGCAGCCCTGCATTGGCCAGACTTAGCTTATTTATAAAATGTCTGTCTAAAAAGGAGGCTGTAGTGGGCATTTAGCAGATCTCAGGTAAATTGTCAAGCCTGGCACCAAAACCAGTACAGTAAGCACTAGTATTTTTGGCGCTTGGAGTGTTCCTTAGTACCAGATTTTTGTTCAATGTCTCTCCCACAGCGCATCAGTAACCTGTATTCGTTTATTTGAAAGGTTATACAGTCAAATGAGAGATAGAAACCTGAAAATTCAGATGTGCAATTGTAAAAGATTGTTATTTTTTGGGGCAAAATAGCAAATTGCTTTCACCATGATAAACCATATGCAATAGAAGACAGTTTGAGATATTTTAACATGATTCATGACCAACTTCTACCAAATTTAGTGACTGTGACTGTGAATAAATTTGTTGAATTTTCCAAAACAGCATTTTTCAGTTTACTATATTTTGAAGGAACCCTTCAGGGTCATAGAGATATGCCTCTTTGAGCATTAAGTTGTTGTCACGACCCCCGGCTCGCGGCTGCACAGGCTAGTGAATTTACCTGTTCAAGAGCAAGCCGGGAGCCGTCTTACTGGGGTGTCCGTCCCCTCCACAAGCGGCAAACAAAATGGGGCTGACCACAAAGTCACGCCCATTTGTATCTCCGCCTCCAAAGATCACGCAAACGTTACAACTTCGCACACGCACGTTCTGGGGTCAGAGGCCAATTTCTGACCAATCACAGCACAAGGAGTGGTATTTAAACCCCTGAAGTTCCCTAGCCCATTGCCCTGTTTTAGTTTTAGTTCTTGGTTCCAGAGAGTGCATTTTCCTTGTTCTTGTTATTTGATCTTCCTGGTATTTTGACTTTGGCTACTCCTGACTACTCTTATCTTTGGTTCCCCTGACTTTCCTTATCGATCTTGTGTGTTTCTGGCTTCCTTGACTTCGGCTTTCCCTTGATCATTCTGTCTTTCAACTTATTAACCTGGCCATTCTAAGGGCCGGTTTACGTTCTGTCTATCTTCTGTAGTTCTGTAGATGTTACATAGTTTTGCGTGTTGGATCACACTGGTAGTCATGATAGTTGTGCAATTATGATGGATTTACTCTCAAAAAGAAGAACATGGGCTATTTCACATGAGGTAAATTTTCAGTAGATATATATATATATTTTTATAAATCTATTTTTATTAAGTTTTTCAGTTGTAAGAAGAGAAAGAGAAGAAACTATAGGCACGCAGACCCTCCAGATTTGAGGACATGCAGGTCCCTCTGCACTGTACCAAGCACTTATATATATATATATATATATATATATATATATATATATATCATCTGTGATGTAAGCTTTGACTCTCAGTTTACACATAGTAAGACATCGCACAATAATGAGGTGAGTACGCAGGGTCAGTGTTATGTCTACAGCTTATGCCAGGACTCGCAGGTCCGGTAATATGTGAAGATACATTTGATTCTGGGATAACATGGACACATTTGCTTGTGTACTTTCCCTGGTGTGAATGAGTATACCAGGGTCCCAAAGTTACCCAGTTAGGTTATGTAGCCAGATGAAGCAAGTAAGCGATAGTTAATCATGGTACAGAGAGAAAGAAAGGTGAAAATATGGAAAGGAAGAAGGAGAAGAAGGGAAGGGTGGGAGGAGGGTAAAGTCACTTGTCAGAGTTCTGGTCCTTTGTTCGTGTCTGTCTAATTGGTCAAGATCCAACGTGACCATATTGTTAAGTATATTTCTTGCAGACCAGCCGCTCTCTTAGTGAGCTCCTCCATTTCCCATAGTTCCTCCATTTGAGTAAACCACATATTGAGGTATGGTATCTCAGGTCTCCTCCAAAATTGGGGGACTAACTGTTTGGAAACATTTAAGATTCTGATTGTGATAGAATTTTTTGTACGTAGAGTTGGGGACCTTGGTGTGTTGTAACAGCATTGCTGCTGGGTTGAAGGGGGTGGGCTGTCAGAGAATAGTTTTAGCATGTCATGGATCCCCTTCCCATAAGGTCAGATGTTCCCATATTCCAACCATATGTGGAGCAGTGTGCTTATCTTTTGATACATCTCCAACATAGGCGTGAATGTATGGGGTTTAACTTATGTTAACTGTCAGGTGTGTGATACCAGTGAGTGAGTAATTTGTATGCCGTCTCCTGGCTCTTACTGAAAAACGAGCAATGATGTGTGAGGTAGCATATTTTCTCCTACTCAGTGTCACTGAAAGTGCAGGAAAGGGACGTCTCCCAGTTTCCTATGAATTTAGGTGATGCTGTTGGGGTTTGTGTTTGTAGTATAGAGTACAACATAGATACCCAGTGGGGCAACTGGTCAGGGTCTGCGCAAATCCTTTCAAATGGTGTGAGTTCTCGGTTCAATGCCTGTCCTTGTGGGAGTGTCTTTACTAAGCGTTATATCTAAATTGCGAAAGGAAGGTGGTGCTGGTGTTTGTCAGATTAAGAGCCCAGTGGGCCTGGCGCTGACAATTATAAGGGGCCTAAGGACAGAATCTTATCGACCAAAAAAACTAAAACAGTCATACCTCTCAAGCGTTATGTATCTGGTGGCAGTGGCGTACACATGACCCATGGGGCCCCGGTGCAAAAATTGATCCGTGGGCCCACCCCCCGCGCGCTTCTCGGCGCGGGTCGGGGTCGCAACACATGGTGGCGGGCACCTGGTTGCAGGGCTGCGACCCCGCGACCGTGGTATGCACACACACTTAAAGGACCGCTACAGACACCCAGATCACATCAGCTCAATGAAGTGGTCTGGGTGCCAGGTCCCTCTAGTTTTAACCCTGCAGCTGAAAACATGTTTCACTGAGGGTTAATCCTCTGGTGGCTGTCTCATTGACAGCTGCTAGAGGAGCTTCCGCGATTCTCACTGTGAAAATCACAGTGAGAAGACAGTGAACGTCCATAGGAAAGCATTGAGTAATGCTTTCCTATGGGTGGTTTAAATGCGCGAGCGCGCCTCTTGCCGCGCATGTGCATTTCGGAGCTGAGTGGCGGACACTGGGGAGTCCGACGCTGGAGAAAGGTAAATGCTGAAGACACACACACTCTCACGAACAGACGCATACACACTAGCTAACAGACACACATTTACTGACAGAGACACACTCAGCGACAGACATACATACACACTCACTTACAAAACATACACTTTCACTGACAAACACACACTCACTAACAGACATCAAACACACTCAGTAACAGACACACACAGTAACACACTCACTAGCAGACACACACCCAATAACAGACACATTCACTGACACACACACTAACAGGCGCACTAACACAAACAAACACTGACACACTAACACACACACACACACTAACACACACACACACACTCACACTAACACACACATACACTCACACTAACACACACACACAAATACACTAACACACACATACACTAACACACATACACTCACACTAACACACACATACACTAACACACATACACTCACACTAACACACACATACACTAACACACATACACTCACACTAACACACACATACACTAACACACACACACAAATACACTAACACACACAAATACACTAACACACACACACAAATACACTAACACACACTAACACACACACACACACATTTTTTTTTTCAAATTTAATCCCCCCAGCCTCCTTACCTTTCGGAGTGCTGGGGGGGATTATTCCCTGGGGTCCAGTGGTGCTGCTGGGCGGGTGGCCGGTCGGTCGGGCAGGCGGGCGCGCGAGGGAGCACTCACTGCTTCCTCTTCAGCTCCCTCGCGCGCCGCGTAGGGATGCCGGCGCCGGAAGATGACGTCATCTTCCGGCTCCGGCATCAGTGTGGTGCGCGAGGGAGCTGAAGAGGAAGCAGTGAGTGCTCCCTCGCGCGCCCGCCTGCCCGACCGACCGGCCTCCCGGGTCAGCAGGGCCAGCCTCAGGGGGGCCCTGGGGTGGTCGGCTCCTGGGCACCCCAGGGGAAGAGGTTGGCCCAGTGGCTACATACCGGGTCGCAGGGGCGGCCGGGCCCCCTGGTGGGCCGGGCCCGGTCGCAGCCGCGACCCCTGCGACCCTGGTATGTACGCCACTGTCTGGTGGAGATGTTGCTGGAGGGAAACTCATAGGATGCAGCTATAAGAAAACTCAGATTCTCTTAAAATATGCTAATCTCTCTCTAATTCATGCTTTCATCTTTCAAGAAAATCCATACCCCCTTACAGCAGTGTCCAGTGAGGCAGGAAGTCAATGGGCGGTATAAAAGGGTGGGCCACTGACGCGGATCATGTAACCATAATTCCCGAAAGGGACGAACATACCCAAAAAGGAGGCGTGTCTGCCCAAAGAATTGGAAGGCTAGCCCGGCATGAATGCATGTCCGGCTGCCTGCCAATTATGAATGCTGGCCAACAGCATCCTGAGCTTAGCATAAATGCATCTAATGATGCACTTCCGCCATGCTTTCTAAGGACTGCCCCCTAGCACTGACATGTCCACTTGTCTCATTACCTTCTTACTAGCAGGCAGAAGCTCCTGGTATATAGTCTGAGACAGAGAAAATGTGGATGTAGTGAGTGTATAAGAAAGGGAACATGCCACAGTGTTAGAGAGACCAATGTCAGCATTACCTTAAAGGGACACTATAGTCACCCAGACCACTTCAGCTCAATTAAGTGGTCTGGGTGCCAGGTCCCTCAGGTTTTAAACCTTCAGATGCAAACATAGCAGTTTCAAAGAAACTGCTATGTTTACATTTGGGGTTAAGCCAGCCTCTAGTGGCTGTCTTCTGGACAGCCTCTAGAGGCATATTATACCTCCATCGCGTAGAGCGTCCATAGAAAAGCATTGAGAAATGCTTTCCTATGGACTCTTTGAATGCGCGCGCGGCACTTGCCGCACATGCGCATTCCGTACCGGTGACATTGGACGGGGAAGCTGACGTCGAAGTGGGAGGAGAGGTCACCAGCGCCGAGGGAGCCCGGCGCTGGAATAAGGTAAGCTGCTGAAGGGGTTTTAACCCTCAGGGCACTATAGTGTCAGGAAAACCGCTTTGTTTTCCTGACACTACAGTGATCCATTAACTAATTTCATTTCAGCTAGTCCACACAAGTTTTGTTTCCATATATCCCTCTTAAGTTTCCATACTTAAGCAAGAGTATGTGAAGAGTAGTTAGGGTTACCACCTTTCTTGGAAAAAAATACAGGCCTTACTAATTTGCATAACTAATAATGCATGTGTAATATCACTTGATGTAAATCACAAGGAGTGACATAAGGAATAAAGTGTCTCCGAGTGTCCCATGTCTCCCAGTTCCCATAGTGTCTGTGTCCCCATGTCTCCCAGTGTACCATGTCACTAGGGGACACTGAGAGACATGGGGACACTGTGAGACTTCAGACACTGGAAGACATGGGGACACTGGGAGACATGGGTACACAAACACTAGGGACACTGGGACACATGGGAACACTAGGAAACTAGGGACACTGGCTTGGAAAGATGGGGACACTGAGATACTTGGGGACATTGTGTCCCTGGTGTCTCAGCGTCCCCATGTCTCCCTGCAGCCTTTACCCCATCCCTCACTTCCCTGAGCAGTAGGCTGTCTCTGCACGCTGGGAGCTGCTGTCTGGACTCTCTGTGCTGTGTAGCTGCTCCCCCGCGGATCAGTGAGTAGAGAGATGCAGGTATATGCTGTAACTTCCTATCCCTGCTTCTTTCCACACATACAGTGACCCTTACTGGCAGGTATTGCAGAGTAATCTCTGTTGATACTGAGAAAAATAATGGTACTTGTATTGCCGGTATTACTGCAATATCAGCAGCAGGTGGCAACCCTGTGTGTAAAAATTTGACAAAATAAAAAAGTTTTAAAAAATAATTTTTTTGTTGTATATCAATGGAGCTTCAGCTCCATGAGCCCCTATGTTAATCCGGCCCTGCCCTGAGACCCTGCGTGGAACAGACATTGTGTAGTCTAGGAAGCGGGTACCAAACAAGTCAGTGGGAGCAGTGGAGATGGGCCTCCCCATGTTTTGACGCCAAACCTGTAAGGTAGCCTTCGTATATACATGCAGTAAGCCTCCTCCCTCTCCCCCCATATGGGGAGCCATGGGAGAAGGGTGATGGGTATGTCTACCTCCACCTCCTCAGCCTTCTTCCAAAGTTCTTTTACTTTTAGCTTTGACCACTCCACTACCCGCAATAGTTGGCACGCCTTGTAATACAGTGAGAAGTCTGGCATCGCCAGTCCTCCCTTGTCTTTGGGTTGCATGAGTAGTGCATATTTCAGTCTGGGCCTTTTACCATCCCAAACATATTTCCCTAGGGCTGTGTGAAGAGGTGTAAAAAAGTAGTTCGGGATCATTATAGGTATGGCCTGTAATAGGTAGAGCAATCTAGGGAGGAAATTCATTTTAGCTACTTGTATTCTGCCTAACCAAGATATATGTGGGTAGGACAACTCCCACATTTCCCTTTTGAATGCAGTTAGCAGCGGGACAAAGTTTTCCGCATATAAGTCTCTCCCTCTTCTCGTAAGCCAAGTGCCTAGGTATCTTAATTTATGCTCAACCCACTGGATAGCATGGCTCTGGTGGAGGAACACTAACATTTAAAGGGAAACTCCAGTGCCAGGAAATCAATCCGTTTTCCTGGCACTGCAGGTTCCCTCTCCCTCCCACCCCCCAATCCCCGGTTGCTGAATGGGTGAAAACCCCTTCAATAACTTACCTGAGGCAGCGACGATGTCCCTCGTCGCTGCTTCCTCCTCCGCGACGCTCCTCCTTCTGACTGCGTTGGCCAGTGGGCGAGACTGATCCCGCCGTGAGGACGTCTAGCGACGCTCTAGCACAGGATTCCTCCTCAATTATAGGAGTCTAGTCTGGTGTGTTGGGATTGCTTGTTAAGGTCATCTAGTTATTGTATTTCCGTTAATAACGTAGCCATTTGGATTTCTCTTTGCTTTTTTAACGCTGCAATTATTTGTATAAAAAGTGTCCTCGGACGACACTTTTATGTGCCTCCCATATAATCGTGGGGGACGTCTGGGTCGTCGTGTTGTTTGTAAAGTATTCCCTTAGCTCTTTCCTAATGTCAGAAGTGATATCTGTTGCCAAAAGCGTGGAGTCATTAAGTAACCATTTGGACACTTTGGGTCTTAAGAAAGGGGACTTAAGTGTGATCTTCACAGGGGCATGTTCTGACCACGTCGCTTTGCTGTGTTCACTTGAAGCACCAGTGGAAGATTATAGTGTGACGTGAAAAGGTAGTATATCCGTGTGTATGAGTTATGCGGGTACAAGAAAAAGGTATAATCTTTTTTGTCTGGGTGGTGTGCCCACCAGCAGTCAATGAGTTTGGCCTTCGATAGGAGAGCCTTAATCATTGAGATGTGTTGGGCCGGGACATGAGATGTTCCCGAAGTTGGGTCCCATCTTGGGTCTAGAGTTACACTAAGGTCTTCCCCCATGATCAGCACCCCCTCGGTAAATGCTGTTACTTTGCGAATCACACAGGACAGGAATCTATATTGCCTCTGATTAGGTGCGTATATTTTGGCAAAGGTGTAGACCGTGCCTGCTATCGTGCCTTTTAGGAATAGGAACCAGCCATCCTGGTCCGCCAGAACCCGAGCCTCAGAGAATGGGATCTTTTTGTGTATGAGGATAGCCTTTCTACTAGATTTACCCCCACTATAGTATCCAGTGGGGTAGTTTTGTTTCGTCAGCTTAGGTCGTGCTCCTTCCCTAAAATGCATCTCCTGTAGGAATAGAATAGAGGGCCGACTGGTCTGAAAGCCCCTTAGGACTCCGGATCGTTTCACGGGCTTATTTAGTCCTCTAGTGTTTATAGAGAGTACTGTGAGCTTTGCTGGTGTCAGTGACATGTTGAGTGTTGTAATGTCCTAGGGTATATGTCAAGTGCACGCCTGTCTGAGTTGTGGGAGTAAGGTAGGGTAAAATTGTAACAGAACTGTTATTGCCTGGACCACAGACTGTAACTTTGTAAACCCCCTGGATTTGTTATGCTTATTTTGTTACCAGTTTTCTACATACGAATGGGAAAACGAATGACATCGCTAACCCATTCGTATGAACGAACAAACTGCCAAACGAGAGACCACCTAGCCAGTCGTGTGCCCCCAATTACAACATTGACTCTGTGCCAAACTGCAAAACCGCAAGCATTCTAAGTGGTTCAATGGGTGGCCGTTGATTTGTATGTACGAACACGTGGCAGCGGCCATCTTGTTTTGTCGAACTCACCCAGCGGTGTTTGGTCATAGAGTGTCTGGAACTATTTTTGGGCCAGAGTCTCGTGTGCGGCTGGGCAGAGAAGGGGCGTTCGGCTATCTCCCGAACCCCTGAATGGATTTGTGTGGTTTTTGAATATGTGTGTCTCCCAATTATGTTTGTTCCAAATATGTAACTTTTATTAAAATTGACTGTATAGTTTTGGAGTTACACAAACAGGTTAAAAAGTATATTTTTTGCTTGGAGATAATTGAGCTGATACAACAATTAACAAAATTATCTCCCAAGCAGAGGGGAGGAATGTACAGGAATGTACAGTGATGAATGGTCGTAAATGACTGTAAATGATTGGCTGTTTGTTTGTATCCTCAGTGCCCAACAAGGTCCACGTGGGTGGTAACCTTGTGGTAAAAAGTGTTTAAAAGAGATGCATTTGTGGTCATTAAAACAGTTCTGCTTAACCCTCAATTCATAGCCTCGTTTCATTATTGAAGGGTACCTGCTTCCAGCATAATCACTAGTTCTTATAAGAGCTCTGCTTCTCCCTCTCTACAAGGATCGAGCGGATGGGATATCGGGAATACTCTGCAGCACAGCCTCTCGCCGGGAAAAGGACGTCTCCAACAACCTGGGTGGCCGTTACAGGGATAAATAGAGAAAATAGAGTGGTTAAAAAGAGAGAAGCGGAGCTATAGTGTGAGTAAAGTCCAGGTGAGATGCTGCCTCTGAGGGCAATATATAGGGGTGAGCATCAGGGAGCACCAAGACGAGGACGCTCAGTCCTATGGGGTAATCAAAGGAGTCCAAGAGCCTCCAAATAAACAGGGTCTAGGATACCGAGATTGGCTCCCAAACAGATCATCACTGAACCACTATTGTCTCACGAAACTCTGCGCAATCGGAGCATCTAATCTCCCCGAATCGTGGCTCAAATCATCAGTATTATAATTTAGTTTGTAACCTTGTTAGTATGAATATGGCCTATAGGCTAAAGGAGTGCAAGGTAAATAACCAGTAACTGCATAGAAAGGCAATAAATACAAATAAAACTGTGACATGTCATGCAAAACCAAATACCAGCCCAACAGGCTGGGAATAAACATGTGAGAATGGTACACTGCCTAATCCATGTGAGATGTATGTGAGACTTTCTTGAGTCCCCATCCCCTCCGACCCACAGTGTGATGCCCCACATTTCCTCCTGATTGTACCCCTAGGGCCCAAGTGTAAGGATTGGAGGCGCCAATCTACGTTGGAGTCCACTTCTATCGTGAACGAAGATGCCTCCTGTACGCACATGTAATTGGGGTTCAGCATTGTAAGGACAAGTGTGGGTTAGGTAGGGGTATTCTGTTTTTGTTTTTTGTTATATATGTTAGGGGTAAAGAGTGATGTTTACTTCTACTATCCTCCTGTCACTCCCGTCCTCACATTGCAACCTCTGCGCCCTCACCCCGTTACGGTCCCAGTGTCTACCTATCTGAATGTGCTCATTTCTCATGTGGCCTATCATGTGTAGACCATAGAACATGAAAAAATACTGTGTTGACCAGGTGTCTAAGACGCCCATTCCAGTTACTCTCATGTCAAATGTATGGTTGCATGTGTATGACTAAAGCTAGTTTAAAGGGTATGGCATTGCAGCCCCTGTTTGCTGGAAGTCTTGTAAGGTGAGGTACTTGCGGTTCGGTGGAAAATCGGGAGGCATCTCAGGTGCTGTAGGTGCATAACGTCCGCTCCCAAATGCCAGGATCCAGTGTAGGGCTAACGCGTACAGTTCAGTTGTTGCCTGTGTGGGGGGTTAGTCCCTTCTTGGTTTAGCAATTAGTTTCATATAGTCCTGGCCCAGCCACCCTACCACCTACTACCACTGCAACGCTCTGACTGGCTGAGATCGCGAGACTAGACTTACCCGGCGGAGCTGCAGACCTAAAGAGAGCCCACCGGACCACCAGGGATACAGCCTGGCCTGCCCACTGGACCACCAGGGAACAAGTTAATGAAAAGGTATTTATGCATCAGCTCCCCACCCCCTACTCTGCCCTCTTACCACCCCTGCCCCAGCCACCCTACCACCCCAGGTACCCTACTGCCCCAGCCATGCCATCACCCTACTGCCCCAGCCACCCCACCACCCTCTGTCCCAGCCATCCTATCACCCCAGCCACCCTACTGCACCAGCCACCCCACCACCCTCTGCCCCAGCCACCCTACCACTCTCTGCCCGAGCCACCCTCTGCCATCCTACTACCCCACTACCCTGTCACTGCCCTCCTACCACCCCCCGCCCTGTTGTCATAGCTCCCCCCACAGCCCAGCACTGTACCCACTCTTCACACTCCCAGCCACCCTCTCTGCCCTCCTCCTACCACCCCCCTGCCCCAGCCATCCTCTGCCTCCTGGGTACTTTCACCCCCCTGCCCCAGCCACCCTCTGCCCTTCTACCATCCTATGCCCCCTACCATCCCCTGCCCTGTCACAGCCACCCTACCACCCTCTGCTCCCTAGTACCCTGTACTCTGACACTGCCCTCCTGCCACCCTATCAATCTCTGCCCACTTCCACCCCATACCCTGCCACTGCCTTCCTACCACCCTCAGCCATCTTACCACCCCCTGCCCTGTCACAGCCCCCCTACCTCCCCCTGCCCTGTCATAGCCACCCTACCACCCCCTGCCCCAGCCACCCTATCACTCTCTGCCCCAGCCACCCTCTGCCCTCCTGCTGTCTTCCTACCACACCCTGCCCCAGCCACCCTACCACCCTCTGCCCCAGCCATCCTCTGACCTCCTACCTTCCTCCTACCACCCCCTGCCCCAGCCACCCTACCACCCTCTGCCCCAGCCACTCTCTGCCCTCCTACCACCCCACTACCCTGTCACTGTCCTCCTACCACCCTCTGCCCCCTACCACCCTTTACCCTGTCAAAGCCCCCCACCCTGTCACAGCTCCCCCTATGTCACGGCTTCCCTACCCTGTCACCCCACACCCACCCAATAACAGCCTTCCCACACACACACACTCACATGGATTAGGCAGTGTACCATTCTCACATGTTTATTCCCAGCCTGTTGGGCTGGTATTTGGTTTTGCATGACATGTCACAGTTTTATTTGTATTTATTGCCTTTCTATGCAGTTACTGGTTATTTACCTTGCACTCCTTTAGCCTATAGGCCATATTCATACTAACAAGGTTACAAACTAAATTATAATACTGATGATTTGAGCCACGATTCGGGGAGATTAGATGCTCCGATTGCGCAGAGTTTCGTGAGACAATAGTGGTTCAGTGATGATCTGTTTGGGAGCCAATCTCGGTATCCTAGACCCTGTTTATCAGCCTTCCACCGCACACCTTGTCATTCCCCACCCATACCCTATCATTACCACACACACTGATACCCCCTTCACACACACTGTCACCATTCCCAAACACCTTCAGTCCCCACACACTGTTGCCCCTAAACCCAGCCAAACTCACATAACCCCCCCAATCCTGTCACTCTCACCCACTGCAACCATACCAAACTCCTTGCTTTGCCACAACTACCCTATCGCATTAACCCCCCCCATCAACCCTGTCAGACTCACCTTCTCTTGCACTGTCACACTCACCTCCCAACCCTGTCACTCATCCTCTATCAGTCTGTCCCACTCACCCCCTTCACCCTGCCACTCTCACCTTATTACATAAACCCTTACAATCCTGTGCTCCAACTGTGCAACACTCACCCCAAACCGTGTCACACATAGGTAGACAATGCCAGATACACTCATATATACATACATTGGCACTTATGTATACACAACTGCAAGGCTATGTAACCATACCCCTCAGTCATACTTGCTAATTAAATTTGTTTATTGCAAATTAAGTTAGTTTGCATATTATGCCATAACTACAGTCAGATAGATCACAATGCCGCGGCACAGGGAGCCGCAACACAAGCCTCTGAACAATGAATACAGAGACTAGCTCTCTGTATCCAGCGCTGCAAGCTTGTCCTTAAAGGAACACTATAGTCACCAAAATTACTTTAGCTAAATAAAGCAGTTTTAGTGTATAGATCATTCCCCTGCAATTTCACTGTTCAATTCACTGTCATTTAGGAGTTAAATCACTTTGTTTCTGTTTATGCGGCCCTAGCCACACCTCCCCTGGCTATGATTGACACTGGTTTCACTTTCAAACAGATGTAATTTACCTTAAATAATTGTATCTCAATCTCTAAATTGAACTTTAATAGAAACATAGAAACATAGAATGTGACGGCAGATAAGAACCATTCGGCCCATCGAGTCTGCCCAATTTTCTAAATACTTTCATTAGTCCCTAGCCTTATCTTATAGTTAGGATAGCCTTATGCCTATCCCACGCCTGCTTAAACTCCTTACTGTGTTAACCTCTACCACTTCAGCTGGAAGGCTATTCCATGCATCCACTACCCTCTCAGTAAAGTAATACTTCCTGTTATTATTTTTAAACCTTTGTCCCTCTAATTTAAGACTATGTCCTCTTGTTGTGGTAGTTTTTCTTCTTTTAAATATAGTCTCCTCCTTTGCTGTGTTGATTCCCTTTATGTATTTAAATGTTTCTATCATATCCCCCCTGTCTCGTCTTTCCTCCAAGCTATACATGTTAAGATCCTTTAACCTTTCCTGGTAAGTTTTATCCCGCAATCCATGAACCAGTTTAGTAGCCCTTCTCTGAACCCTCTCTAAGATATCAATATCCTTCTGAAGATACGGTCTCCAGTACTGTGTACAATACTCCAAGTGAGGTCTCACTAGTGTTCTGTACAATGGCACGAGCACTTCCCACTTTCTACTGCTAATACCTCTCCCTATACAACCAAGCATTCTGCTAGCATTTCCTGCTGCTCTATTACATTGTCTGCCTACCTTTAAGTCATCAGAAATAATCACCCTTAAATCCCTTTCCTCATATGTTGAGGTTAGGACTCTATCAAATATTCTGTACTCTGCCCTTGGGTTTTTACTCCAAGATGCATTATCTTGCACTTATCCACATTAAATGTCAGTTGCCACAATTCTGACCATTTTTCTAGTTTATCTAAATCATTTGCCATTTGGCTTATCCCTCCTGGAACATCAACCCTGTTACATATCTTAGTATCATCAGCAAAAAGACATACCTTGCCATCAAGACCTTCTGCAATATCACTAATAAAAATATTAAAGAGAATGGGTCCAAGTACAGATCCCTGAGGTACCCCACTGGTGACAAGTCCAAGCTTCAAATATATTCCATTAACTACAACCCTCTGTTGCCTGTCACTCAGCCACTGCCTTACCCATTCAACAATATTGGAATCCAAACTTAAAGATTGCAGTTTATTGATAAGCGTTCTATGTGCAACAGTGTCAAAAGCCTTACTGAAATCTAGGTAAGCAATGTCTACTGCACCACCCTGATCTATAATTTTAGTTACCCAATCAAAAAAATCAATAAGATTAGTTTGGCATGATCTCCCTGAAGTAAACCCATGTTGTCTCTGATCTTGAAATCCATGTGTTTTTAGATGTTCAACAATCCTATCCTAACATGGTTTCCATCACTTTCCCCACTACTGAAGTAAGGCTTACTGGCCTATAGTTGCCCGACTCCTCCCTATTACCTTTCTTGTAAATGGGCACAACATTCGCTAACTTCCAATCTTCTGGGACTACTCCTGTTAACAATGATTGGTTAAATAAATCTGTTAATGGTTTTGCTAGTACACCACTAAGCTCTTTTAATAGCTTTGGGTGTATTCCATCAGGTCCCATTGACTTATTTGTCTTTACTTTTGACAGTTGAAATAGAACCTCTTCCTCTGTAAACTCACGTGTAATAAATGACTCATTTATCCTTTTTCTCAACTGAGGTCCCTTTCCTTCATTTTCATCTGTAAATACAGAACAAAAATATTCATTGAGGCAGTCAGCTAGACCTTTATCCTCTTCTACATACCTTCCTTCTTTTGTTTTTAATCTAACTAATCCTTGTTTTACTTTTCTTTTCTCATTTATGTATCTAAAAAATGTTTTGTCCCCCTTTTTTACTGACTGTGCTATTTTCTCTTCTGTGTGTGATTTTGAAGCTCTTATAACTTGCTTAGCCTCTTTCTGCCTAATCTTATAGATCATTTTGTCTTCCTCACTCTGGGTTTTTTTATAATTCCTAAATGCTAACTTTTTGTTTTTAACTATTTTGGCCACATCTGCGGAGTACCACAGTGGTTTCTTGAATTTTTTGCTTTTACTGACAAGCCTAATGCAATTTTCTGTTGCCTTCAATAGTGCAACTTTTAAATAATCCCATTTCTCTTGGACTCCATTTAAATTGCTCCAGTTTGATAATGACTCCTCTACACATATTCTAATTTTAGAAAAGTCTGTTTTTCTAAAGTCTAAAACTTTTGTTTTTGTGTGGTGTGACTCAGTCACTGTTCTTATATTAAACTACACTGACTGATGATCACTGGATCCTAAACTTTCACCTACAGTAATATCTGATACCAAATCTCCATTTGTTAACACTAAATCTAGTATGGCCTCTTTACGAGTTGGCTCCTCAACAACTTGTTTTAGAGACAATCCCAGCCATACTCACCTTATTACATAACCCTTACCCTTACAATCCTGTTTAGAATATGTGTGCTCAAGGCACAAGTAGCTAATTTTGTTTTCCAATTTACATCAGGAAGATTAAAGTCACCCATGATGATAACTTCCCCCTTCATTGTCATTTTAGCTATTTCCTCAACAAGTTGATTATCTAACTCTTCAATTTGTCCTGGGGGCCTATAAATCACACCTACACGAGTTACTGTGTGTGACAGACCCATCTGTCTGGATTATAACTGCTTTGTTCGTCTGTTTTGCCGTTTTCATGAATTTCCCCGTTCGTACGCTTTGTTTAAGGGAATGTCGGTTTTTGTCGAACGGAACTACCGAACGGACGGCCACCCAGAAGAGAAGTGTGCTGCTGGTTAACCTATTGATCCCAATTAGAACGTTGCGGTTAACCACAGACACTTCTCAATTAAAAACCGAATGCCGGGTGGTCGTCGTTCGTATGTCGACCACGAGGCGGCGGCCATTTTGTCCATGCGAACGACCAGCGGTGTTCAACGATTATTTCATGGATCTGAAAACGGACACTTTTTCAGCCGAACACCGCTGAAGCCGTCGACCTCCCCTTCTCAATCGACAAAAGCATACGAATGACAGCCGTTCGGGAGATTCAACCACACGAATGGACTTAACCCAGATAGCCGTCCCATGGAGTCAATCGCATACCGAAGAACTGAAAGAGACTTTGACTCCATGGCGATTGAACTGTGCGAATGGGATCTGAGCGCTATTCTCCAATAATGTGCCCTCAGATCCAGGCTATCTGGGGATATGCAAGACTGATGTAAAATGTTCAGCAGTTATTAAGTTATGGATTTTTGTGTGTTTTTGTAACTTGTATCTAAAATGGCGATTGCCTCTGCTCGGGGAGATAATTGAATTACTTCCCAATTATCCCCCGAGCAGAGGGGAGGGAACTGTACTGCATGCTGGGAATATTGTGGGGATGTATGTCCAGAATGTCCCCATGTCCCTCTGTGATTTCAGTCTCCCATTTGGTCCCCTAGGGGAGTGTCCACCAAGTGGGAGACCTGCATAAATACTGGGCAGGTAGCCCACAGTAAACCAGTTCGTGTTTTACCCTCAAAGCGGAGCTTGGTCTCGTTATTGGGGGGATTTGGTTACCGGCGCTTAGAGACTGCTGATTGGAATTATTTGTCGCTTAGAAGGTATTAGCGTTCGGCTAATATTGGCAGTTCGTGGATTTGGAGCTCGTGGAGGGAAATAGCCGTACAGGTACCATTCGGGAGTTTGGAGTGTTCCCTAACTGGCGGTTCCCATGGTTTTACTATACCCGCTACCAGCCTACATTATTGCGAACGGGGAGCATTCACTAAACGGCGGTTTGTGCATTTCATTACTGGAGGTACTGTAACACTGTGTGATTACCATATTCTAACGTAACCCAAACGGACTCTATGTTTGCCTCACTAACTTTTATTAGGCTACATTTTATGCTATCCTTCACATACAGGGCCACCCCTCCCCCTTTCTAGCCTTCCCTATCTTTTCTATATAAAGAGTGCCCTGGTATTGCTATGTCCCAGTCATTTTTCTCATTATACCATGTCTCAGTAACAGCGACTAAATCTACACTATCAGTTGCCATTATTGCCACAAGTTCATGGATCTTATTCCCTAAACTGCGAGCATTTGTAGACATGACTCTAAGCTTATCATTTTTAACACACTTGCTACAGGCACCTTCTGTCCTTGTTTTGGGGGACAATTGGATTGATGTTTTATCACCCTTTTGCCCCCCCCTCCTAGTTTAAATACATCCTAGCAAAACCTCTGAACTGCTCACTGAGAACATTTGTTCCCTTTTGAGAAAGATGCAAACCATCTTTTTTGTACAGCTTATTTCCATTCCAAACAGAGCTACCATGAGAAATAAAGCCAAATCCTTGCTCCCGACACCATTCACCAAGCCACAAATTAAAGTCAATAATACGCATCCGCTTGTCGTTCTGAGTGTTATGCACAGGTATTAGTTACTTGCTATTGATTGCTGTTTAAATTAGCTATTGTTTGCAAATAAGCAGAGGCCTACCCAGGTGTTAAACATTCCTAGTGGGTGGTGATTTTAGGAGTTATATAAGGGTTGTTGTCATTAGCTTGGCTAATATAGCTTGGTTGCTTCATCTGTGGTGGAATCTCGGTAAAAATAAATTTAGTAGGCCGAGATTACCACGTGGCATGTGTACGTGCATATGCTGACGTATCGATCAGTTGGTTGCACGAGGCAAGATACGATCAGTAGTGTACGGAGCATGTGCAAGAATACAGGATGTAGTATTCCCCTCCTCCATTGTGCTGGACAAGCCATGCGGTCAAGCAGGAAGTTAATTCTTATTTGTAATGATTGGTCAAGAGAATGTGCGGGTGGAGCTTAATATGGGAGGAGTTATGTGCCTATATAGGGAGCCTGCACTATTGTTCGGGGCTCAGAACTTGCTGTATTTTTGGTGACATTAGTCCCTCTGAGTCCCGATCGGTGATCCAATAAAGAATCTCTTCCTTCCTGAAGAAACCTGTGTCCATCTCTCTGTGCTTTGCTTCCGTCAGTTTCTCCGGTATCATTTGGTGCATTGGCCGGGAAGCTCATCGTTCAACGGTAGCTGAGAGGCAGAGGCGTGAGACGGTCTATCTTTGCCCACGTTCTCTACGGCTGCACCCCTGAACTTCTGCGTGGACCTCCCTTCGTCTCGGCGCCACTGGTCTGTTGTCCAGGAGATCATCGGCCTCTACGTAAGAAGTGCTGGGGTGTCCCCGTCGATGAGTGTGAACTCAGGTTCAGGAACGAGGAGGTAAGACAACTGCTGTTTTAGACGGCAGACCCACTAGGGGTATACCGATTGTGCGGTAGGCCCAAAAGGGGTTTAAATCTGTGTATGGAATCTGCCCCCTCTGTCGGAGGGAAGGAGCGAAGGCGCACCGCTCGATCGAACGCTCTTTAGTAAGACCGTTTGATCTGGTTAGTCAGGCGGGGTCCTGTGTAAATAGCCCTAGCCGGACACCGGTGTCTTGTCTAGACTAGCGTTCTAGGGTGTATATTACGTTCGCTAGGTCGGAGGGACCGGGAGACTAAGCGGCGCCTGTGTAAATTCGGTTCGCTAGCTCTCAACCTATCTTGGCTAAGTGGGAAGGCGTGTAAATTTGGAACCCACTAGACTTTTGATAGAGTAAATAGACTAGAAGGGCAATTTTGTAAATTTCGCCCTCTAGTTCGCTATATGTGGTGTTTGGGCAGTGTGGCTAACCAAAACGGGTGTATATAGTTTTAGGTAGTCCATTCAAGGTACTGGCCAATAGTTTAGTTGGGATTGTAAATGTGTTAAAGATTGTTAGTAAAGTGTATATCTTGTTAGATAGCGCGAGCTCAGCCGTCTAGCGAGAGTGTTAATAGTGTGTTGCTGTATCATAGTGCACGGTACCATAACCCTGTATATTTACTGACACTGTATATAAGTACTAATCATTGTCGTCTATTGCATGTTTAACACCGTAACCACTAATAATTGTATTGTGACCTTAAATTGTGCTTTGACCTATGCTAACCGTACTGTAACCGATACTAGTAAAAGACGATGTTACTGGGGTGTGTTATAGACGGGTAATTCATATATAGAGAATTATAGCGTGGGTGACTGTATAGTTTCGCCAAAGGGCATAATATTGATTATTTAGTGACTGGTGTAACAGCTGTGTGTGTACGGGAATTCCCTGAGTGATTATTGTGTTATTGTGTACGTTTCACTCGGTAACTGTACCACGTGGTGCTGTTGCCAGAGGAAACGGGTGTGACTGTTGAATAAGAACGCGTGCATAGTATTCGTTGTCAACGACGTTCCATTGATAAGTATGGGCGCGTCAGAGTCAACGATTTCGGATCCCTTAGGTTGTATGGTAAAGAATTTTAAAAAGGGATTCAAAACATGTGATTTTGGGGTTAAAATGTCTCCTGTACGTTTGGTCACTTTGTGCACTAGGGAGTGGCCTACTTTGGTTGCGGCATGGCCGCCGCGTGGCAGTTTGGATCCAACCCTGGTACAGCGTGTACACGTGGCTGTATCAGGTAGGCCTGAACTTTACGGACAGTTTCCATACATTGATTGTTGGAGGCAGGCCGTAAACGACTCGCCAAAATGGATCCGGATATGCCACGAGGAGCAATGTCGCCTCATGGTGGCCAGGACTTGTTTGTCCACTAGGACTGGTGTTAGGCCCATTTTGGACACGCCCCCTGAGTCCGAGATCCCTTTGCCGCCCCCTTACTTTCCTTTAAGAGGAAGTGACGCGAATGCAGGAAGTTCTGCACCCCTTCCCCTATTGCCCCCATCCACTTCCGCTTCCTCCTCCAGTACAGAATCCACCCCCCCTCGTATTAAAACTCCCCTTCCGGAACCAGGACCAACCCCCATTAGATCGGAATATCCTGATTTGGCGCCACTTCAAACTTCCGGTCAAGCTTCTTCTAGCTCGGCTCGGAGTATACTATTCAGTAACTTTTCCCAAAATCAAGTTCCCACATCCTCATGCCCTATTACCTCTCGACCGGAACCTTTAACTGACGCCCCTCCTCGTAGCCCCATATTAACCCGACAACTGACCGGTACCCAACAATTAAAACATTATCAGATGCCTCTTCGTCTGAATCCTGGGTCAGCCTATATCGATGCCGCAGGTCAAATGGCACATGCTGACCCAGTCTTCGTATATGTCCCGTTCACGACTACCGATCTCTTGAATTGGAAGACCCACAATTCCTCGTACACTGAGAAACCACAAGCTATGACCGATCTGTTCACCTCGATAGTTCAGACACATAACCCGACATGGGCTGATTGCCAGCAGTTATTAATGACATTGTTCAATAATGAGGAAAGGACAAGGATTAACCAAGCGGCCATTAAGGCGCTAGAGGAGAGAGCCCGTGCTTTAAATCAAGCCAATCCGGCAGCATGGGCCGCAACACATTACCCTAACACCGATCCTGACTGGAATGTAAATGGCGCAGATATGGCTCAACTTAAAGCCTATAGAGATGCTATAATTGCTGGCATGAAAGCCGGAGGGAAGAAAGCTATTAACATGTCGAAGACAGTTGAGGTGATTCAGAAAAGTGATGAAGCGCCCAGTGTCTTTTATGACCGATTATTGGAGGCATACCGCTTGTATACCCCCTTTAATCCGGAAGACGCTGATAATTCCCGAATGGTAAACTCCGCCTTTGTCAGCCAAGCTTACGGAGATATTAAGCGCAAGCTACAGAAATTAGAAGGGTTTGCAGGTATGTCTATCACCCAACTAATGGAGGTAGCGAACAAAGTATATATGAATAGGGAAACAGAAAGTAAGAAAGAGGAAGAGCGCAAGATGCGTAGAAAGGCAGATATGCTAGCGGTAGCGATCGCAGGCGTAGATAGACGGGGCCCAGATAGAGGCGATGGTAGATGGAATAGGGAGCCTTTGAGTAGGAATCAGTGCGCGTACTGTAAGGAAGAAGGGCATTGGAGGAACGAGTGTCCGCAAAGAGAGCAGTATGAGAGAGACTTACCCAGGGCAGGTTACGGAAACTTTAGAGGCAGAGCGAGAGGTAGAGGAGGCCCCGGAGGGAGTAATGGTAATAGAGGGAGTAATGGGAACAGAGGAAGTGTAAGGGAAGATAGGTACTATCCAGCAGCGCAAAGGTCCCGCGATAGAGAAGGTAGGGACTTTGTGGGATTGGCTGACACGGTCATGGAGGACTATTGATACCGACCGGGCTCCATCCCCCTTGGTCGAGCGGAGCCTATGGTCGATGTATCAATAGGGGGAAAAAGGAGTGCGTTCATGATCGACACTGGTGCTGAACATTCGGTGGTGACTAATCTAGTTGCTCCTCCATCTGGAAGAACTATTACTGTAATAGGAGCAACTGGAAGAAGTGCTGAAAAACCGGTTCTTAAAAGTCGACTCTGTACATTGGGAGGCCACGTAGTAAAACATCAATTCCTTTATATGCCTGAGTGTCCAGTCCAATTGCTGGGACGTGATATGCTATCCAAATTACAAGCGCAGATTACGTTCCTACCAAATGGAACAACATCCTTAAAGTTTAATGGACCTTCAGGTATTATGACATTGTCCGTACCAAAGGAAGAAGAGTGGCGACTTTATACAGTGTTGACTAGCCAAAACCCGAGGAGTGATGAATCCTTATTTAACATACCAGGAGTTTGGGCAGAGAACAACCCACCAGGACTGGCCCACAATATTCCACCTATTAAAATCGAACTAAAACTTGTGGTTTATCCAGTAAGCCTGAGACAATATCATATTCCGCAGAAGGCTAAGAAGAACATCCAATCTTATCTGGATAAGTTCATACGGTATGGTATCCTAAAATTCTGTACTTCCCCCTGGAACACCCCATTGCTGCCTGTTCAAAAGCCCGGTACAGATGAGTATCGACCTGTGCAGGACTTGAGAGCAGTCAATGATGCGGTTGTTAGTATACATCCAGTCGTGCCCAATCCATATAACCTGCTTGCTTTAATTCCGGGCGGGGCTACTTACTTTACAGTCTTAGATCTCAAAGATGCCTTCTTTTGCCTCCGAATTGCCGCAGAAAGCCAATGTATCTTCGCTTTCCAATGGGAAAATGCTGTAACGGGCTCGAAACGCCAAATGACCTGGACAAGATTGCCCCAGGGGTTTAAAAATTCACCTACCCTATTTGGTTCAGCTCTAAGTCAAGATCTACTAGATTTCGAGTCTATCCCAGGAGAGTGTGTATTATTACAATATGTAGATGACTTGTTGATAGCAGCAGTTACAAAGGAAGTATGTCAGCAAGCAACGCACGATCTACTACACATTCTCTGGAAGGCAGGATACAAGGTGTCTAGAAGGAAGGCTCAGTTGTGTTTGCCAACTGTCAAATATCTGGGATTCCATATCTCTGAAGGTCAAAGAATTATGGGGCCAGAGAGAAAAGAAGCTGTGTGCCAAATACCGATACCCAGGAATAGAAGACAAGTGCGAGAATTCTTGGGGGCAGCAGGCTTCTGTAGGATATGGATTCCCAGCTACGCGATACTGGCAAAACCTCTGTATGCAGCTATCAAAGGTACAGAGCACGACCCCTTCTTATGGACTCAAGAACAGCAAACGGCATTCGAAGATGTGAAGAGGGCTTTGATGAGTGCCCCAGCATTAGGTCTACCTGACCACACACGGCCATTCTACCTGTATGTACATGAGCAAAGAAGAATGGCTGTGGGAGTATTGACACAGTACTTGGGATCATGGCAAAGACCTGTTGCCTACATGTCTAAGCAACTGGATGCAGTGGCCAGCGGACTTCCACCTTGTCTAAGAGCTGTAGCTGCAGCCGCCCTGCTAGTAGCTGAAGCCGATAAACTCACTCTGGGTCAAGAACTTTATGTACGAGTTCCACATGCAGTACAGACGTTGTTGGATTACAAAGGAAATCATTGGTTTAGTAACAGCCGTATGACCAAGTATCAAGCAATGTTGTGTGAAAACCCAAGAGTGCATTTAGAGACTGTAAATACCTTAAATCCAGCTACCCTTTTGCCACAACCTACTGAAAGTCAACATGATTGTTTGGAAGTAATGGATGAAGTATTTTCAAGTAGACCAGATCTTCGTGATTTTCCCATCCAGAACCCTGATGTTCAATATTACACCGACGGCAGTAGTTATGTAAAAGAAGGGATCCGCTATGCAGGATATGCAGTAACAACGATAGACAAGGTGATAGAAGCTCGGCCACTGGCAAAAGGAACATCAGCACAAAAGGCAGAATTGATAGCACTGACACGAGCGTTACAATTGGCTGAAGGTTTAAGAGTGAACATCTACACGGACTCCAAGTATGCGTTTTTAACCACTCATGCCCACGGAGCTTTGTATAAAGAAAGAGGACTATTGAATTCAGAAGGCAAAGAAATCAAATACGCAGCTGAGATCCTACAACTATTGGAAGCAGTGTGGGAGCCGAAAGAAGTCGGTATTATACATTGTCGGGCGCATCTGAGAGGAGATGGTGATGTAACCAAAGGGAATCGGATGGCAGATAGTGCAGCTAAGCGTGCTGCTGAATCAGGAAGACAGGAATATGTGGGGCATATAGCTGCTCTTATACCAACTCCACTGTCTCAATGGACTCCAATTTATACAGCTCAAGAAGAGGAGTGGTTAAGGACTGAACCTGGAAAGTATTTGGAGAACAAATGGTATCAGTTAGAAGATGGAAGAATAGTTATTCCAGCATCACTAGCGGTAGAAATTGTCCAAAACTATCATAACGGGACACATTCTGGGAGAGACAGTACAGAAGAATCTCTCAGAAAACATTTCTACATACCAAGATTGTCCAACTTGACTCAGGCCATTGTACGTAGATGTGTAACGTGTGCTAAAAATAATGCAAGACAAGGACCAGTAAAGCCACCAGGAGTCCAGTTTATGGGGGGACTTCCCATGTCCGATTTACAAATTGACTATACAGTGATGCCTAAATCGGGTGGACATCGCTACCTGCTGGTAGTGGTGTGCACCTATTCAGGCTGGGTAGAAGCATGTCCTACTCGTACAGAGAAAGCAGGAGAAGTCGTGAGATTCCTGCTACGAGAAATAATACCCCGATATGGACTACCCTGCTCTATAGGATCGGACAATGGTCCAGCTTTTGTTCATCAGTGCCTACAACAATTGACTCATATGCTTGGTATAAAGTGGAGGCTTCATACGGCATATAGACCCCAGAGTTCTGGTAAGGTAGAGAGAATGAATAGAACTATTAAGAATCAGTTGGCTAAAATGTGTCAGGAAACCCAACTTAAGTGGAACGTTCTCTTGCCCATAGCTCTATTGCGAATCCGTAGTACACCTACCAGAAGGATGGGCCTCTCTCCTTTTGAAATCATGTACGGGCGACCACCTCCCGTGCTTGGTAACTTAAGGGGGGATTTGAGTCAGTTGGGAGAAGGAATTACCCGGCAGCAGGTTGTAGAGTTGGGTAAGACTATGGAGGAGGTACAGAAATGGGTACAAGATAGATTACCTGTGAATATTTATCCCCCAATTCATAGTTACCACCCAGGCGACCAAGTGTGGATTAAAGAGTGGAATAATGTGCCGTTAGGGCCCAAGTGGAGAGGTCCTTATGTTGTTCTTTTGTCTACCCCTACAGCGATAAAAGTAGCCGAAGTGGCTCCGTGGATACATCACTCCAGGGTTAAACCAGCAGCAGCCGATTCCTGGCAAGTTACAGCAAATCCAGAGAATCCCTGCAAGATCCGGTTAAAACGCACGACTCAGTCGGAGTGACGAGGAACCTTGTAGATTACAAATTTTATTGTTTCAGAGACTTGGTAAGTGAGTGAGAAGGCCATAATAAAGCCTGTCCACTCACCAACGAGTGTATAAGTCAGGGAAAGTCTTGAGGGGACCCCTGTGAAGACGAGCAGAACTCCATTCCCTGCAGCCCTTACATCCTGGAAGCTGAGGTGCCTTCGCACGGACGAAGACTGAGGATGACGACGAAAGATGTATTTTTAATAATGTTTATTTATGTGTATTTTTATATTCAGGAAGGTAGAGGTACCGACACTCCTAGCTGTGAGGTATGCATTAAGACTACAAGAACAGGTAACCATATATCCCAGACCCTAATTTGGCATTCGCAATATGAGTGTAAAGGAGATGTATCAAGATGTAGATACTTAAATATAGAATATAGTGTGTGTCATTTAGGAGTAGGAGAACCTAAGTGCTTCAGTCCTGAGTATCAACCCCGTACAATTTGGTTGACTCTCAGAAATGGAGATCCTCAGGGGACCCTAATTAATAAGACGGTATTAGAATCCGTATATTCTTCAGGTGCTCTGCTATTTGATGCGTGTAAAGCAATATCAAGTGGTAGAAAGCCGTGGAATGTATGTGGGGATCTTAGATGGGAGAGGACGTATGGGTCTAACGATAAATATATTTGTCCCAGTAGTAAAAATAAATATGTAAGTCCAAGATGCCCAAATAGAGATTATAACTTCTGCCCATATTGGTCTTGTGTGGGGTGGGCGACTTGGGGACAGACAGCAGACAAGGACATGATTGTGACTAAGTTGCCTACTGATCCATATTGTAAGTCTATGGAATGCAATCCAATCCATATACTTATAAATAACCCTGACAAGTTCTTAGATAAATATGGTAATTTATTTGGGTTTCAAATATATGGGACGGGTTTAGACCCTGGGACAATATTGTTTATAGGGATAGAGACTGATACGGTAACCTCCCAAACTCATCAAGTATACCATTCCTTTTATGAAGAGATGAGCATAGATAATAAGATCCCCCATAATGCTAAAAACTTGTTCATTGATTTAGCCGAGAGTATTGCCGGTAGTCTTAATGTTACCAACTGCTATGTGTGTGGAGGTACTAACATGGGAGACCAATGGCCTTGGGAAGCAAAGGAGGTAATGTCCGGTTCTGAGGCAGTTGACCAATTAATATCTACACAAGCCGACTATCATATGAGTGTTAGAGGTAAATCTGAGTGGAGATTGAAGACCTCCATCATAGGTTATGTTTGCATAGCGAGGAAAGGAATGATGTATAATACTTCTGTAGGAGAATTAACTTGTCTAGGGCAAAAAGCTTATGATGATGATACAAAGAATACAACTTGGTGGTCGGCTTCAAATGTCTCAGAACCATCTAACCCGTTTGCAAGATATGCCAATTTAAAGGACGTATGGTTTGATCTATCCATCACATCTAACTGGAGAGCCCCAGCGAATTTGTACTGGATCTGTGGTAAGAAGGCCTATTCGGAGTTACCACAGAACTGGGAAGGGGCATGTGTACCTTTGGTTATAGAACCCCTATTTATATGCTCAACCGCATTATAAGGTTACAGGCGGTGGTTGAGATCATTACTAACGAGACATCACAAGCGCTCAATCTTCTAGCGAAGCATAATACCAGGATGAGGACAGCAGTTTACCAAAATAGATTAGCCTTGGATTATCTTTTGGCAGTAGAGGGAGGTGTATGTGGGAAGTTTAACCTGAGCAATTGCTGTCTTCAAATAGATGACGAAGGGCAAGCAATAGCTGAGCTTACTAGCCATATGGTTAAACTAGCGCATGTGCCTACTCAGGTATGGAAAGGGTACAATCCAAGTAGTTGGTTTGGTAGCTGGTATGAGTGGTTTGGAGGGCTTAAGGCAGTGGTAGGTGGAGTCCTACTGATTTTAATGTTGTGTCTACTCCTGCCGTGTCTTATACCCTTAGTAGTTAGGTCTGTGCAAAGCCTGATAGAAAATATAGCAGAGAGGAAGGCTGCTGCACAGATAATGGCAATTTATAAATATAAGGCTCTAGATCAGGGAGAACCAATGCAGGAAGACGAGTGTTGAAGATTCACATCATAGGATAAGTCTGGTCTGGTTCAAAGGTAACTTGTGGTGTATGCAAACCAAGGTTAAGTGATGCCTCAAGTAATTGTAAAATATCAAGAGGCATCAAAGGGGGGAATGTGGTGGAATCTCGGTAAAAATAAATTTAGTAGGCCGAGATTACCACGTGGCATGTGTACGTGCATATGCTGACGTATCGATCAGTTGGTTGCACGAGGCAAGATACGATCAGTAGTGTACGGAGCATGTGCAAGAATACAGGATGTAGTATTCCCCTCCTCCATTGTGCTGGACAAGCCATGCGGTCAAGCAGGAAGTTAATTCTTATTTGTAATGATTGGTCAAGAGAATGTGCGGGTGGAGCTTAATATGGGAGGAGTTATGTGTCTATATAGGGAGCCTGCACTATTGTTCGGGGCTCAGAACTTGCTGTATTTTTGGTGACATTAGTCCCTCTGAGTCCCGATCGGTGATCCAATAAAGAATCTCTTCCTTCCTGAAGAAACCTGTGTCCATCTCTCTGTGCTTTGCTTCCGTCAGTTTCTCCGGTATCACATCTAAGTGCTGCTTCCAAGTGTGTTGTTGGAGATATTCTGGATATAAACTGGAGGTAATCTGAGGTATTCAGGAGGATAAATAAAAACTAAGATTTGTTTGATTTAAATTATTCTCCTCACTGGAATGGCAGGCTTAGTTCAGTGTAATAGTTGCTATGAATTTGTTTCACATTCCACTTTTTGGAGGTTTGGTTGTTGTCTAATCTGTAGACAGTTCTCTATCTTGCGGCAGGAGATTGTATTTTTGAAGTCTGAGATTTGTAAATTTGTAAATTAATCACATACAGGAGCTCTTGCAGGGTCTAGCAAGCTATTAACATAGCAGGGGATAAGAAAATCTTAAACAGAACTTGCAATAAAGAAAGCCTAAATAGGGCTCTCTTTACAGGAAGTGTTTATGGAAGGCTGTGCAAGTCACATGCAGGGAGGTGTGACTAGGGTTCATAAACAAAGGCATTTAACTCCTAAATGAAAGCGGATTGAGCAGTGAGGCTGTGGGGGCATGTTCTATACACCAAAACTGCTTCATTAAACTAAAGTTGTTCGGGTGACTATAGTGTCCCTTTAAATACAACGACAGCACCTTATACACACAATGCAACCCCTATTTCTAACTTTAGGTGTTAGTGGGGGCCTCATGTTTGAGTTTTGCCCAAGGCCTCACAAAGTCTAGAGCCGCCACTGATAGAAAGATAATTAACATTAGTCCTCTCTGCCCTTTAAATACCTCAAACCATTAACAGGTCTTCAGTTCTTACTTACAAGTAACTGTGAAACAAATCCAGATGGTGGGTTCATCAAGGATATTATTCTTGGGAAGCATATGCCTGAAAGCTGCCTGGGTGACAGGCTGAAGAAACAGAGAAGTTTTGACTGAGTGACAGACATTACAGAAGCTAGAAACCAGAAGCCTCTGTTATATAAGCATAAAATACATGTGAGCAATGTGCTTCAATCCCAGGATACTGCACTGAGAGAGAGAATTCTCAGACAGCCTAACAATTATACAGCAAGTGGAACACTGTGCTACTGAGCATCCATGTGCATGTATGAAATGTTATAACAGGCTAAATAATTTGAATGGAGCCTAGGTATTTAAAAGCGGATAGGCATGTCTAACAGAAGGTTGCATCCACCAGCACACTTATACTGTCTGAGGTCTTTTTTTTTTTTAATATTCTTTATTTTTGCAGTACTTAGATTTAACATACACGCTTGTAATGCCACGATAGCAGGTACAAGCCAATGGAATAAAACATGTTGTACAGCATCATGGCAATCAATTTAACAACACTTTTTTTTTTTGCAATAGATTAAAGGACCACTATAGGCACCCAGACCACTTCAGCTTAATGAAGTGGTCTGGGTGCCAGGTCCAGATAGGATTAACTCTTTTTTCTGTAAACATAGCAGTTTCAGAGAAACTGCTATGTTTACCTATGGGTTAATCCAGCCTCTAGTGGCTGTCTCATTGACAGCCACTAGAGGGCTTCCGCACTTCTCACTGTGATTTTCACAGTGAGAAGACGCCAGCGTCCATAGGAAAGCATTGAGAATGCTTTCCTATGGACTGGCTGAATGCACGCGCGGCTCTTGCCGCTCATGCGCATTCAGCCGATGGCGGAAGAAGAGGGAGGAGAGGAGGAGGAGAGCTCCCCGCCCGGCGCTGGAGAAAGAGGTAAGTTTAACCCCTTCCTCCCCCCAGAGCCCGGCGGGAGGGGGTCCCTGAGGGTGGGGGCATTTATGAGAGGAGTGATAGCAGGTTATGGAAGATAAGGACAGAAGACTTATACAGTATAGACATTATTATTTATGCTAGGACCTATTGCCCTAACCTCTAGATGCCATCAGCACTGCATAGGTAGTTAAGTGCAAGCAGGATATAGTACCAACAATCCAGGCAGGGGTTAATGCATGTCAGTCACATAAAATAGAATGCTTGAAATAAATGCAAGACAGTAACTGAAATGCTGAATAACTGAAAAGTTCACCCTATCCCCAACCTCACCTTCCAACCTCCTTGGCTAGTGAAAGTCCCAGTGATCCATAGTTTGCCACTCCGTCTGCTCCGGGCTTGAGTGGGAATACGGTTCACGCTTGTCCGACTGTGTGTGTCTCCGATACTGGTGTGCCGGTGCGGTTTAGTGTTTGCTGGGTCTTGAGGTTTCTCCCTCCAGAGGTGCGTGATGTGCATCAGGGAGCTCCCCCCTGCGGCTCTCTGCCCGGTGTTGCGGTGATGAGCGTTGGTCATCTTGTGTCTCCGATAAGTGCCAGAGGGCCGGTCAGGTCTTCGCCGCAGGTGCAAACAGCGCGGTTTGGACTTTGTTTTCCCTGCGAGGTCAGGCGTGGAACGGTAAGTATCAGGAGATGAGCATTGCAGTGGGCTGTCACCCTGCTCCTCTTTCACACGATTCTTGTGCCTATCAGCAAGTTGGAGCCAAAAGTTTGCAAAGATTTCGTCCAGACGCCTCTTCGATATCTCCAGACTGCCATCACATGGCGTGTCCGCCATTTTAATGGTGACTGTATGGGAGGCCTCAGAGTGCAGGGGCTGTTGCTGGATTGCAGCTGTCCCTTTAGTTTGACGAGTCGAAGAGTGAGTACCGGGATGTACCTCGCCAGCAGGGGGGGAACAGGGGGCCCCTTCACCTCTCCTCGCCCTAGAAGGATACTCAACAGGGAGATCGGCCTTTTCTCCCTAGCTGCCCCTAAAGGTAGGCCTCAGAGCTGCGATGGGGTAAAACCACCACTTGAGCGGCCAAATGACTCCAAATGTGTCGCTGATTGTCTCCAACCGGAGTTGTCTCGATTGCTTAAGTGTTAAGTTGGTTCTATAATTTTGCCGGGAGCTCACACTAAGTGTGTCCGTCTAGCTTGGCGGTCAAGCCCCCCCCCCCCATTTCTCTTTTATAATATATAAAGCTTAAAACCATACACTGAGCTGTAGTCTGTCTCTCAGGCTGGGAGCTGCTGTCTGGACTCTCTGTGCTGTGTAGCTGCTCCCCCGCGGATCCGTCTGAGGTCTTTTAAGGTGAGAATGTAGGTTAGGTTTTCTTAAACTAAACGTTCAGTATATATGAAAAATAGAGTAAGGGGTGCATTCACAGGTCTTGTGTTAGCATATAAGTGGTTTAATAAAACAAAAACTTTTTCAGTTACATCTGTGAAAATAAATCAACGTTTTGACCCCTACGGGTCTTTTTCAAGATCACAGCATATCAAATAAAGTGACATTATATACATATAACATTTAATAACTTACCAATAATTTGAGTGAAGATCTAGTGAACACCCGTCACCTTCAGACTGATGCCAACCCGGAAGTGCAGGAAGCCGCAGTGACGTCATCACGTTCTGAAGCACTGTGGGAGGCAACGTGGTTGCTAAAAGACCAAATAGCCCCGTGTCTCCCGCAGTGCGTCAAAACGTGATGACGTCACTGCGGCTTCCTGCACTTCCGGGTTGGCATCAGTCTGAAGCTGATGGGTGTTCACTAGGTCTTCAATCACATTATTGGTAAGTTATTGGTTTTTATGTGTATATAATGTCACTTTATTTGATATGCTGTGATCTTGAAAAAGACCCGTAGGGGTCAAAATGTCGATTTATTTTCACAGATGTAACTGAATTTTTTTTTTCCGTTTTATTAAACCACTTATATGCTAACACAAGACCTGTGAGTGCAGGTCACACACATATATGTGTGTGTGTGTGTGTGTGTGTGTATATATATATATATATATATCTCAGGTAATTATACTCTTTAAGCTCTCTTGCACTACATTTGCAGTTGTCTAGTCCCATATGCACAGATAAAGGAGAAAAAAAAGTGTTACTCCCCATCCTAAATAAATTTAATCGACACCTAAGTCTAAACATTTGGTGTGTGCATACTGTGCCATTCTATTGCCTGATGGCTCGAAAAAGAAATATTGTAACCAATGTGCAAGATAAAAACAAGAAAGGAGATATGAGCTCTTTTTTATCTTGGTTGTAAGAGAGTCTACAGTAGACGTCTATAGAATATAAACAGTGAGCTTTGCAGAAAAATACTGGTACAGCAGTAAGTCCACCTAAAAGACG